AGAGTTAGTAATTCCTGTACAAAGGGAATGCTTCATGTGCTGCAGCATGGGCTGATTAATTGATGATTTAAAAGAAATGTGGAATAACATTCAGCTCTTCAAGTGTATTTAGGTTCTCTGTTCCTATGGGCAAATAGAAGACAGACTGCCAGTATCTCAGGAGATAGTGTAATGGTAGGATATTATGCAATTAAGGCTCTAATAAAATGCATATGCCTGTAGGTGGATGAATTAAGGTTGCCCAGGCAATCTTATTTCTGGCATTATCTATATTTTCTGCAATTGACTTTGCAACCTACACATTCACGTATCATAGCTTTTTGTTGTACTATGCAGCTATGACTTCAATTAACATCCTTCTTGCTAAAAAAGTTATATTAGAAATTTAAAGTTTCCGGTACCTTATGACTTCAGCACAAGGCCAGCTCAACACACATTCAGTGAGGGTGTGTGCCATTCCAGCCGAAACCCTGAGCAGGGCAGATCATGAGCACCCAGGGCCATTCACCAGCTGGCCAGTTGCTATGTGCCCAGAGGAGCCAGCTGAAATTTGGGGAGGTGGTAATCAAAACGCTGCCTTCCTTCTCTGCAGTTTCAGGGATGCAACTTCTGGGTGACGACTCCACAAACTTAAAGGATCTGCAGAGGTTAGACTTGAAGAAGGAATAAGAAACAAGCTCTTCATTTACTTAGCAACTGAGAGAAACTGTACCAGCTCCAGAATTCCTCTGCCAGTGTCAGCATCGCCTCACAGTTGGCCTGGCACAGCAGGACTTGTCACTGACCTTCCCTAAGGCAATCCAGGCATTAGCCTCTTGATGAACTGACATTGTTGTAACATCAGGTGAGATTGAGAGAGGTTGGTAATGCAACTTTAATCCCATAGTTTTTAGAAGGCTAAATATAGATCCTGAGGCATTCCTAAAATGGCAAACAAAAATTTTACTATGTTCTCTCACATATATTTTTGAATTAGGTATTAGAGATTGTGTTAATTCAAGACATTTTGCCACTGGTCTCCCCCACTCTTCAGATCAAACCAGCACTCTGTGTGCAGAACAATTTGCTAGTGCTCCGGGGGCACAAACCAGCACAAAAAAAAAAGAAAACAACAACAACAACAAAAAAAACCAAACCAAAACAAAAAAACTGACAGCAGATGGGCAGCCCTGAATGGAAAACAAAACCTTTGAGCTTTTCATTTCTTGGATTAGAGTTTGGTTCCATTACATAAAGAGGAAATGGGAAAAAAATGCAAGCTTAAAAGAAGATAAAATCTGATTAAAATGCAGACTAATATAATTGCAGAACATTATTCAGGCTTTCTTGTGGAGAGAGAAAAATGTCTGCTATTGTGCTGCTATAGAAACTACATAGGGCCTGTGAGGAGGTGAGAGTGCATGGAGCATGTCGTTCCCTCTCTCCCGCCTTTCTCTCCCCTGGAATGAAGATCATATCTTGCTCTGTAAGCTTGGCTTTTGCTGGTCAGGAGATCTCTCCCAGTACAAAGAGAAGTTGTTTTCTTGCTTATGTAGTTTCTTTTAATATCTCTGCTCCCTCCCTCCTTTGTTTTGCTCTTGGAAGGTGGTGCAGGGCTGTATTGGAGGAGGGATAAGCTTCAGTCTTCTCAGGCTTTTCACAGGGGCTGCTTCACTTGGCTTTAAAAGTTGGGAGCATGGAACGTGTGTTATGCCATGGAAATGGAGCTTTCTTGCATTTAGTCTCATAAAGCTGCAGAAAGGTCTCACAGTGCTTTGGAAAGTAAATGCTCATCTGGAAGGAGCAGCCTTTGACCACTGTGCCCACAGCACTTTTTTCTCTGACTAACTGAGTTGGAATTACCAAAGGACTAGGTAACAAGGTAAAGTTTACTCCCTGGCTGCTGAGTGAAGTGCCTTTATAGAAAGTGTAAAACCATATACAAACATACCCTCTGTCCAGTAGCATAAAATAAGCCCAAGAGATGTGTCCAAATATGTCCCTGAACTGTGGAATTGTATTCCAACTAGCTCTGCCCCATGACCATCTGGGCTAAGTAATCTCTGACAGCAGTAATTTCTGCCTGAAAGGATGATATAAGAATTTTTTAATTAAAAAGACTGATAGATGAGAAAGCCCGTTTACACCACATTAGAACTCTTTCTAGTCCATAATACTTAAGAAATTCACACAAAATTTGAGAAGATTATTTACTGCTGCTAATGAATTCTAAGGTAGCATAAAATACTGAAAAATAGATCTCCTCTTTTATAAATGTGTCCTTCTTTTTATTACAGATGTAATTTTAGTTTTTGTTCCAGTGCCTTCCTACAGAAATTGACTCAGTGACTCAAATAGGCATTTTACAAGAATATATTTTGTATCTCAGTTTTTCCAGAAGTTACACCTTTCAATCTGGCTGATTGTTTTGCTTTTAGTATTTTGAGACAGAGGAAGAAGATTCCATTCTTCAATTATTTTATCACTTTCATCCAGTCCCTAATTAATCATCTCCTTTATAAAACCAGTTTACTGCAATGTTGTCTCATTTTCATCATCCTTTCCTGTTTCCCCTTTTTGTGGTTTCTACCACACCCCTTCATGTGTTGGAGACGCCAGGGCTGTATGCATTGCGATATGTTAGCATATTTATTTATGGAATGATGTCAGAATATTCTGTAGGGCTCATTGAATCTCATTGCCACTGAAGTCAATCACACCACGTATTTCCTTCTATAAAATCCTACAGCTCAATTTTACAAATTGACTTGGTTTTTACAGATTGACTTGATTGACTACAGATTGTGACTTGATTTTGCTCCTTCCACTCTTGTTAGAGATCTGTTCTAGTGTTTTGGTACTCTGACTCAGTTTATACTCACTTATTCTCATGCTGACATTGGCCCTCAGTTTTAACTTTCATGCCTTGTCCATTTTCTAAGCCCCATTTTTGTATATTTTATTTTGTGTCAACTATTGCACTGTTCTTACCTGAGTAATGAGCTTTACTTTCTCTCAGATTCTCCTTCCAAGAGAAGGAGAGTAAGCAAGCAGCTGTGTGGGACTTAGTTGCCTACTGGGGTTAAACCACAACAAACACTGATTTACTCTTGACTGGCTGACAGACTCACACACTGTACTGCAGATCTTTTCTGAAATTACTTATCTGACATTGCTGGGTTTACGCTTCCCGTTTTAAGCAGCTCCTACTCATCTCCAGATTAACTAGACTCTCTTATCCAAATGCTGATCTTACAGCCAATGGAAGAAAAATTTTTATTAATATCTGCATGTTATTAATGTTATTGAATTTAATTATATTTTCATTAAACCTGTTCCAAGAGACATACAGTTAGTCCAATATACTAACTACTCCCAGCTCTGTCAACAGTAGATTTCATTTGCTTGCTTGTGTTCTTGATGACACTATTGTAACGAAAACATGAAGGATGACAGGAGCAATGATGAATCACACAGAACATTTTCCTTCAGTCTGACACCTCCCATATAAAACAATCCTTTATCATTGCCTCCTGATCCACATACTCTTCTGCTTCAACAGCTGTTTCCTGTCTGGACAGCACCAGGTATTATTGATCCCAAATAGACTGCATCTACCTAATTTCATTTCTTGAAGAAAAATGGAAACAGAAAGATATCCTGCTGAAGTAACACCTCATGTAACTGCATACTTAATTTTTATTTCATTTATTCTCATATCTATAATTATTCTTTCCTTCAAATTTTGTCTAGATTATTGTAAATTATTTCCCTCTCTTACTTTAATTCAAGTCTTCCAGAAGGATTTGAGTGCTAGAGTGAGAGTTTGTGCTCCATTCACCATCATCTCCACACACTTGGCCTGTTTGCACTGGACAATATTGTTTTCACCCACTATAGTAATTACCCATGACTTTCTTCTCATTACTCATCTTCCTTCTGCATCCATCTTTCATGCAATCATCTTTATTAAAACTAGAAGCAAAATACTTCTTGATTTTCTAATAGTGCCAGATTTCCTTCAATCTGTATGCCCTTCTTACCATATGACTATACCACCCTGCTTCTTTTTTCCTGGTTTTGAAGTAATTACTTCTAGCTGACGTAATTTATCTTCTGCATTTCCTCGTCTTGAAGACAAAACTTTCTTAGGAGAGTGAACCTCTTCACTTTCACTATTAGGTTTTCTATTTCCAATGACCTTAGTTACTATGATGCCAGATAAATCTTCTGTGAAACCCTTTCCCTTTGTTCAAGGTACAATACCAGTTCTTTTCTGCTGCACTGCCATAAAGAAATCCAGTCTTCATATTCAAGTCCTTGAGTCCTTCAGCCTTGTTGATTTATTGCTAATTGTGTCTCTTGCCCTTTCCCCTTTTGACTTAGAATAGCTTTCTATAAATCTGTTTTACCCATCTATTTATTTTAAACCGCACCTATGAAACAATTTTCCCTGCTCTATGACCATAGTAGCCTTACAATACATCCACTGCTCACAAAGCTAATCCACCATCACCATCACCTCTGGTGTTGGCAAGGCAGGGCAGGGCAAGGCAAGGCAAGGCAGGGCAAGGCAAGGCATGGCATCCGCAGGTGGGTGGCAGGAGGTGTGAGGCGGCAGGTGCGACCCAGACTGACACAGGACCGCCTGTGCACAGGCGGGTGGCTGAGCCTTTATGGACACCGCACGCGTTTCGGTCAGCCTGGCGGGATTTTGGGAGCCGACGGCGGAGGTGAGATCTTCAGAAACGCTCGATCCGTCGCCTTTAGGGTGCTGCGGGTGTTTGACTCCCGAAGAGCGGGGAGGTCACACACAGACGCAGACTCCTCACTCCTGACATCCTTCCCCACCCACCCGAGGCGCGGGGTCTGCCGCGCCCCCCGCAGCCGCTCACCGTGCCCGGCATGGGCGGAGCGCGGTTCGGGGCGTGCTTCGGGGCGCGGTTCGGGGCGTGTTGCGGGGAGTGGCGGGGCGGTGTTCGGGCGCTCTGAGTGGCCGCCAGGGGCCGGGGCGGGACGCGGGGGCGAGAAAAGGGCCGGGGGCTGAGCGGCGGCAGCTTGGGCGCGGGTCGCGGCCGGGATGCGCCTGACGCAGAGCATGTGCACCATCGCCGAGTGCGCGCCCGGCGGCGACCCCGCCGCCCGGCCCCGCCTCGTCAAGATCGCGGTGGTGGGGGGCAGCGGCGTGGGCAAGACAGGTGAGGGGCAGCGGCGGGGCGAGGCGGGCGGGGGCCGGCAGCGGCGGAGCGCGGCTAATGGTGCTGTCTGTGCTGCCCGCAGCGCTCGTGGTGCGGTTCCTCACCCGGCGGTTCATCGGTGACTACGAGCGGAACGCAGGTAGGCGGGCGGCGGCGCGGCTGTGTTCCTGCCGGGATGGGGCGGGGGAGCGCGGCCCCGGCTCTTTGCCGCTGGCGGGTCCTCCTGAGGGCGGCTGGTCTGGGGGCGCGGGGTGCAAGCCCTGAGAGGGAGCGTGTGAAGCCCCCCGAGCCGAGGCGCAGGTGCGGAGCGAAGAGCTCGCTGCCCCGGGCTGCGGGCGCTCGGCCGGTGCTGCCGGCGGCCCGAAGCCCCGGGGCTCCGCGGCTGCCGAGAGCCGCTCCCCTCCGCGGTCTACTCGCAGCCCTCGGAAAGGGGCACGTCAGCCACCGCCACATGCGATTCGTGGTCGCAGCAGCTCTAGAGATGGGATGTACTGCAGGTCTCTGGCAGAATTAGCTTTATGTGGTGAAAAGTACCCCTTTTTTAAAAGGAGTTTGTTAGCTAAAACAGGGTAACATTCTATAAACCTACTGTTATATGGTTGTCTGAAAACTGAGTGCCAGCAGTTACATGGGCTAGACAGGGCTAGTTTAAAGGGGAAAATAGAAAGATGATGTTACATACCTTATTCAGTGAGTGCAGTGCTGAGTCTGAACTAGCGCTGGTGTAAAAGAGACAGCCTTCTGTTGAGGAAATTTCTTGAAAGAGCCAAACAAATGAAAAAAAAGCCAACAACCAACCCAGAAAATTTTACAGACCAGCCAACAGGAAGCCAGAAAATGCATCTGTTGTAGCTTAGGGAAAATTTGGAAGAAAACTTTTCAAGGGGAGCTTCACTAAATTGTGGAAATACTAAATGACAAGAAAACTGCTTTTCTATGTAATGAAAGATGGTTATTTTACACTCTTACTTTATCCTTCAAGATAAGACAGTCTTTAACAGTGATTAAGTTCCAAGTTGCCTACCATTTAATTCCCAGCTTCCATACATGTCAATTCATGATGTAATCCTAGGTTTCTAGTCATCTCATTAATATTGTTAACACCCAAAAAGCTTATAACACTGGTTTCTTGCTTCATGAGTGCCGATATGACTTTCCCTACACAACTAATGGGCAGCAGAAGCAACATTTGTCTGTAGAGTGGTGACTGTCCTTGTGAACCTGTTGATGTTCTTGTCAGGTAATCTCTACAGCAGGCACATCCAGGTAGATGGAGAGATGTTGGCTATCCAAGTGCAAGATACTCCAGGAGTTCAGGTGAGCTAGATGCAACCATGCTACAAGAGTAGCTCTAAGTGTTTGTGTGCATTCATCCCTCTGTGCAGCATCTTGTTATGGTCTTTCTCTAAAATATTTTGCTGTGTGTTTCAGAGCTTGGTGTTCTTTGTGGGAGAGGTGGTAACTTGTGTTTTAACCAGTCAAGCCAACTGTGCTGAGAGACTGTTTCAATGAATCATTTGTTCATTGGAGGCCCATTACTTTTGAGTGGCTGAATTACTGAAGTGCTTCAGTCCTGTATATTAGGAACATTAGGCACAAACCCAGAAACAATTAAAACTGGTATATGTGAAATATGGTATATGATAAAATAAATGTCATGACCATTGCCCAACAAGCTTCATAAATGTGTATGACAAAGTGAAGTCTGCTACATTGTGGCTGTGCTCATTAGTGTGTCACAAGTTGAAGTTTTGAATGTATAGACCTGAGTAATGCTGGACTGTTGCCTTTTTGAACTGGGCAACACTCCAGGTCTAAATGCTTCCAGCTCATATCTTTGCTTCCCCAGACTTACTGTCTAGCCAGTTAATTTCCCATTCTGTGGAACTACAAAGTCTTTCTCTGCATGCAGAACTACTCAGGTCAATTTTCCATTTGAGTATAGCAAACTCCAGTGTTAAATTCCAGCTTTTTGCAGCTGAATCAACATCTGCATTTATTCGCTATGCTCAGATTAAGTTCATACTTACCATGTGAAATCCAAATACATGTCTGAAGCTGTAAAATGCCATTTGGCTTTACAGAGTCTTGAAGACAGATTCCTTTAATCTTTTGTGACTTCAGCTATCTGATTTGAGACCATTAATTTTTCAGATCCATGAACACAGTCTGGATTGTAATGACCAGCTGAACAGATGCATTCGCTGGGCAGATGCCCTGGTGATTGTCTTCTCCATCACTGACTATAAGAGCTTTGAACTACTCAGTCACCTTTACCACCATGTTCGACAGCTGCATCCAGGGAACGTGGTCCCTGTCGTCATTGTGGCAAACAAAGCTGATCTCTTGCATATCAAAGAGGTGGAGCCTCAGCAGGGACTTCAGCTGGCCAATATGCTGGGCTGTACTTTCTATGAAGTATCTGTCAGTGAAAACTACAACAACGTCTTCAATGCCTTCCATCTCCTCTGTAAAGAAGTCAATAAACAGCAAATAACCAGCACCCCTGAGAGGAGGAGAACCTCTCTTATTCCACGGCCAAAATCCCCCAACATGCAGGACCTGAAGAGAAGGTTTAAGCAAGCTTTGTCTGCCAAAGTGAGGACTGTCACTTCTGTTTGACAGCACAGCCCTTGGTCTACCCAATGTTTAGCTTGAGATTGAAACCTGGGGTGTTTAACACTGGCACATGTAGAATCCAAGGTATTGTGAAAGGAGGTTTAAAAAAGGAACAGTATCAGATTAGAAAAGGAAAAAAAACCATAAAACCTCCTGAAAAAGTTCTAGTATGCAACTTGTTGAACAAATATTTTCATTTGGAAAGGGAACTTTTCAGTAAATGAAACAATTTGCCTTTTCCCCAGTTGGACAGATTTGGCTTTCATTTGTGCAGAAACAACCTTTTTGCTGTAACTCAACTTGAGCAGGGAAGTACCCTGAACTGCAGGTCCCTGTTCAGAAGTAACCACTTGAGTTTTGTTCTCACATGGATGAAGGACAGCATGATGCAACTGTTTAATTTTATTGCACAGTAGAACTGGGTTGTTTTCTGTGTATTTCAAAACAAATAAGCAAACATCAAATGGTTCTGTAAAAAAAAAAGTGTAAAATAAGTAGGCAGAACTGAGCACCAAGACTGTAAACAATGGTCCTTTATTTTTTACTAGCCATGTTATTGCTGACAACTTGACCTTACTCTTTGTATGCAAAGCTATTGTCCACAGGGTGTAAACATATCTAATTACAAACAACTTTTACTGTCCTAAAAGAGTACTTTCCAGACTAAATTCAACATGGAGCTTCTGAGGAATGTGTGTGGAGTGATAGTCTAATACAAATGCCATTCTAAGACATCCTTCTCTCTCTCCTGTGTGCAGTAAGCACAAAAAGAACAAAAGGTGTGAAGCATGGCTGGCTCCAGGCAATGAAGCTGATGGCTTGTTCTGAGCTGAGCCAGACCCACTTCTTTCTTAAACACATGGCAGAGTATATAAATACTTAATTTTTTTTTAATATTGAGCCAATGGAGTTCAGAGCCTAAGGGCCTTATACATATGCACTTTAAAAAGCCAGTTGTGCTTTTGTTTAAACTATAACTTATTTATTTTGTGTATAGTTACTCCTCTTAGGGAGTGGACTTTTCATTCTTACTGCCTGGTTCAACATTAAATTTTTGAATTGCATGTTTCCTTGTGTGTTCTTTGGGGGTGAGAAATAACGAGTAACAACCAGTGAGCTGTTGAGACAAAGTAATAGCTTTCTTAAGGTAGTTAACATGCTGCAGAAACAGCAAGGTGTCCTTTCCTGCCTATGCTGCTGCTTTATTAGCATAAACCACAGGGGTTTTGCTCTCACAAGTGCTTTACAACTTCCTTTTAAGAAATTCTTGTAGGAGAGGAACTGAATAAGGCAAAGGCTTTTCAAATTAAAATAGGATTCTTTAGTTGTCAAAAATACTTTGGTCTTTAGTGAGAAAGGAATGGTGTGAGGTAGGTCAAAACCTGGAAGTACACAGGTTCTACATGACTGCCACTTAAAAAAAAATTGGTTTTAGCTATATCATCATGAGGAGCTTAATCAAATTTCAAGCCTTCATCTACCTTTTTCATGTTTAAAGTAGCTTTAATAAAAGCCTTTCTGAGGAAGATGCTTGTGCTAATGCTAGGCTGATGGCCATACAGGCTCACTTTCTTAGCACACAGCTGCAATTAATGATGCAGGGAAACTCTGACAGGATCCTGCTGCTGGTATTGTTTTGGACCACGAGTTACTAGTCTAGTGACTTAGGATTGAAGTTGCAAACAAAACTGAGCTTCCCCTTCCACTCAGAGCGTATACCAAATAGTGCTTAGCTTACTAACAGAGAAGTAATTCAATTTCTCAAGAGTAGCTTTACATTTTCTCTTTGCTTTCTGAGTATTGCTAGATGTGGCAGGCAGAGGGCTCGGACACTCTTGCACCTCCTCGTGCAACTTCTGTACTGTTTCTGCTCCCATGGGACTGGCAGGAGACCCCTCATCCCTCAACCTTTTACCCAAGCACAGGGTCCATGTAGCTGCTACAGCTATTTCCTACAAATAAGCTTACTATTGCACTAGGGCCACTAGAAAGACTCCACTGTACTTTTGGTCTATAAGTACTTAAGTATGAGATGGTGGCTGAGTTCCAGTATCAATTACCACAGCTGTGGCCCCACAGGCTGAGAAGATTCCTCCAAAGCGTGTGTGGGCCTGGAAAACTAGTGTCTATCTCAGTCAAAGGAGCTACCTGACCCAGAGGAAATGCAAGATCACCTATGTCTGCTTAGACTCACTCCTTGCCTTCTCAATACAGCAGGTCTTTAGATGGCCAAGTTAGAGACCTGAAGGCATTTGATGAAAAAGAGGTCAGGGAGTGCAGACCACAACCAGCAGCCTCCATCAGCTCAGGAAAACAGCAGCATCTCAGAGGTGTGAGTACCTGAGCTCAGCAATGGCCACTAAACATAGGTAAGCCTTTCTGCTATGGGCAGAGTTTAAGAAATATTCTAGGACCAAGACAGATGGTCTAGATTCCTAGGGGCAATCAAATAATGCAAAAGTAAAAGAGATTGCAGGAATATGAGGTTCTGGCATGTGTAGCTCTGCATACTATGAAAAAAAGGAGAAGACAGATCAGGTTTGGTATTGTGAGAGCATTGCTTTATTGATTACAGAATTTATGAAAAAACCATATTCTAACATTGAACAGTACAGAATGACAGAAAAATTGAGACCAGCTACTTGCTTTCCAGTTGCTCTATTCAAACTATTCCTTGAGCTTTTCATATTGCAATCTCATAGCATTTCTCATTTTTATAGCACAAAGTTCCATTCTATAGTCATTCCTATAAATTTCTTTTTCATAGAGGTGACATTGTCCATGCTTTATAATCAGTCCATTGTTTCCTTCTAGCCACTTGAAATTGAACTTAAACCAAAATGCACCCTTTTCTGAAGACCATTATAAACATTTAGAACTAATGCTAGCTAGTGAACAAAATTTAAAAAACAACTTCCCATTTAATCTACTCCCTTGGCATAATAAAGAATGCCATGATAGAGTGAATGTCACCTAATTTCACATACTCAGTGTAAGCTGTAGTTGTGGCATTACTTGGATGAAGTAAGAGGATGCAGGTTTAGAGTGCCACCATTTTATGTTATAATTTGGAAATCTTGGTGCTATATGTAATTAAAATCTCTACTGGCTGCTGCTCTTTCTTCACACATTGTAGCGAAGTTTAATAAAGAAAAATTACATAACTGAATTTGATTGAAGCTATTTCATGAGCATAAATTAAAAATAAAAGCTGTTTTCTGACCATGCTGTTCAGAAATCTAGCTCAAGAAAGAATCTGTGCTGTGGCCTCTTGAAAATGGGATCATACCCTTTTTATTTTTTTGTTATTTCTTTTTTAAATGCATATGAGGGGAGGATTCTTTTGGAGTTATCATCAAACCATCACAGCCCATATGGCCTCCTGCATAAATCTACAGAGATGTGTGCCATCAGAAACTGTCTTTTCTTCTGGGACTGTGGGTGGAGAAACTAGAGCAGGAAATGGAAAGCTGAGAGAGAAGTAGCCATGTAACCCAGCCTTTGAGTCTGGCTCTGCTTCCCTGCCTCTAACGGTCCTGCTGAAAGAGCATCACCAGGCTGCGAGCTGCTGTGCCAGCTAAATCAGGGCTGTGTTCCATGATCTCTCTGGAGTGAGGGACAAAGTCAGAGTAGAGGCTGTTAACATTGTATAAGGCACACATTTTGCAAGGTAGCATGACAGAGGGTGGATTTTGCTAGCCTCTCACTCCTTCATCAGCATTTCCCACCAGCAAACCCAGCAAAACCATCAAGAAAAATGGTACTGCTTGGGAAGTGCAAATTGTGCATCACCTGGCTCTCAGCTGCTCCTTTGCTAGGGAATTATTACAGTCACCCTCACCATGCTGAGCGAGGCCGGGAGTGATTCAGCACTGCACAGTGCTATCGACAAGGAGGAGAGGTTTGCTGTCAGACAACTGGACCATTTTGAAGAGCTGCCCATGAGCTGCTGCAGGTGTTCCCTTGCAGCCAGACACCCAGCTGTTTCACCTGGAGCTGTAAGTGCAGCAGTTGACACATCAGTTTTTGAGGGCTATTGAGAAGAGTGACAGAGCAGAGATTTGATGTTTCCAGGCAAGGCACTCATCTTTTCCACAGCCTCCCCCATCAGATACGAGCGTCAGGCTGGAGACGGTCTGAGGCAAACAACAACTCAACAGTACTGTGTGGTGTCAGGAGTACAGAGGAGAGCACAATTACCTGAAAGAAGGGGAACAAGAAGCAACAAGTCAAACTGAAAGGGATTGAGACAGTACTAATGAGCCATAGATAGTAACTGTTTGCTTTACCCAGCTCTAGTCAGGCTGTCTGCTTCTGGTGTTTACTGATAGAGCAATACAACTTGTCCAGCAAAACTGTCTGCTTGCTAATAACTGTAGTAAAATCGCTTTAAGGAGCACAATGACTACTAGCATTGTATGCTTAATGAATGTGTGCTTTGACACATTTCTACCCACATTTTACCTGGTGATTTATTGTGACTGCCAGTGCATTTACTGTGAGGCACCAGCCTATGAAGCCGTGGTTTCCTCTCGATTTGGGTCACAACTTTTTCCTCTCAGTTGAAGGTAAGGTGAGCACCACAGAAGTGCCTGCTGCATGAAGCCAGACTGCTGGTTCCAAACCACCTTTTCAGACCAGGCACAGCCTGTTCTGCACATCAGGCTCAAGCCTGAGCACTGTCAGATGTTATCACTTTAGTTTCTTCCCGTTTTTAATCCTAGATGGGTCTGATGAATGAAACCATTGCTCACTACAACCATGATACACATCCTGCTAGGTGCAGGTATCTGTTTTCCCTAAGTGAAAACCAGTATATAATTATGTGGTGTGAAGACTTCTCTGCAGAGCAAAGCTATCATCCAGGAGTGAGTGTGTACACTCTTTCCGTGAGGAGCTAACCCAGGGTCGAAATCATAGGACACTGCTCTTACCAAGCCCCAAGTTTAGCAGTGTCCGTAGGGTCAGGATTGCAGGTAGGGATCTGGGGGCAGATTTAATCACACTAGCTCACTTGAAAATGAATTTGCTTCTTCAGCGCAAAACCAAGGAGAGGAAGCACAAACATCAACAACAGAGAATGTGTGTCCATCTACTGCAGCAGCTATCAAATGCTTTGTGCTGACCATCATGTGGCTTAAGTATGTGGTAATGCTGCATTTCAACTTTTTTTGTTGTTCTTTCTTTCATCTTTTCACTTCAGATACTGAAAAGATCCCTTCTGTATTGGTGATAGCCTCCCCCTCACTTCTCCTCTTCCCTTGTCCTCCCACACAATCTGCAGCAAACTGACACTGATTACCTCTTCCTTCATAAGCCTGAAACAGTCTCAGTAACTTGCAGATGCCAAAGTTGACACTGTCTTACTTAAGTTACATGAGAATCAGACTATAGTACAGAATGTGCTCATCTTATTATCATGCAGCTTAACTCTGAAAAACACGAAGGGACACGTTACTAAAGTTTTTTTAATGTACAAGCCAAACAACAATAGCCACTGACAGATAAAAGCAATTTCTTCTTGGAGTCCTACCACTCAATCCTCAGGGGATTTGTGCAACAAATAGCAAGCCCAGAGAGAAAAATGAGATCTGCAACTTTAATGTCTCGGAAAAGATGCTTGAATACAGCAGGGACTTCTTTCCCTCCAGTATCTGGAAAGGCTTGTTGAGGGGGATAAATGTGAATGTTTTTTCTTTCATTTTTACAGAAAAGAGGAGAATTGCCCAGGTAAGTAATGTCCATCTCTTCTTCAGGCAGCTCTCTTCAGGACAGTCCTTTGCAGACCTTTTCCTTGTTCCATACTCCATGCCTGTCTTTCATGCTTCACCTGAAGGGTTATCCCCTCCTAGTGGCAGCCAAGGTGGAAGAGCCAGGAGCTCCCATCCTGACCCACTGAACTCCAATGGGAAGTTCCCCCACAGCACAGCAGGGAAGGCAGGGAAGGATGCCGCTAACATCTAAAGGTGCATCTGAAAGTTTATCAGTCTGCCGTCTTCACCCATGACCACATGGATGGTTGTGCATGTTGGAGAAGGGAGGGAGAAACATTCTCTTATGCTCT